CAAATGATGCAAACTTGGTGGCTATGGAAAGATAATAGAACAAACTACAACTTTCATAGAAATAGCCGTATCAAATTTAGCTTTATTGATGGTAAAAATTGGCGGCCAAGTTTCTACACGCTAAGCTGTCCTGGACCTGTGACATGTCTCGGTATTTTAGTCATAACTCTCGCTTCAAAACTCCAAATAAGTCAAAATTGGTGTCCAGAGAAAGCTAAGAGAAAATTCAACAACTTTTATGAAGAAGCAATTTGCAAATTCTACCAACTAGAAGGTCATAAATGGCAGCCAAAAATCGGTGCGGAAATAGCATCCAACTCATTCCACTTGCAACACAACTCATCCACCATCACCACTAACTCATCCACTAAACCTAATTTCCTTATATTTTAATGTCTTTTAAAGGCTATAGCCCTTCAATTCTCCATTTCAAGGCATCCCTAAAACACTTCTCATTTCTCTTCTCTTAGAATTTTTCTCTCTACATTCTGCTTAGACGGAAGGAGCCTAGGGGAAGAAGTTCTACTCTAAGTTTTAGCGAGATTCTGCCCAAATTTCTGTATATCCAGGTAAGGGGGGGGGGAAACCTCACTTGGGGATGTGGGAATAATTGTTAAATAGTTTGTTTGTTGGATTGGCTCCCGATCCCTTGCCTGTTGTTTGTTTCTTTGAATATACATTATTGATGTGTTTTGTTTACCTCTGTTATTTAAATGGAAGGCTGAGCCTCCTATTAATTTATAAATTGGAATTTATTATCTAAATGGAAGGCTGAGCCTCCTTATTTTCCTTATTCTCCTTATATTCCTTTATTTTCTATTAAGTTTCCTGTTTTATTTGAAGATCTTAATATACTATGATAATGTAAAATATATGATAATTAAGTGACCCTTGAATTATTGGATTATTGAACTGTTAGGACCATTGAACTGTTGGACTGTTGAACTATTGGACTATTGAATTATTGAATTAATGAAATAAAGTATATAAATATGACATGATGTACTATAGAAAATTCTGTAACATGTTAGAAGTTGAGTCAATGAATGTATGACATGCATCATATGCATATATTACTCCAGGTGTGCCGCTGAGGCCGCATACCCACGACTAACAAGGTGTACCTTTGAGTCACCCACGATATGCTAACGAGGTGTATGAACACCAGTGATAGGTGTGCCTTCGGGACACCAGTGATGTAACATGCTAACGAGGTGTATGAACACCAGTGATAGGTGTACCTTTGGGTCACCAGTGATAAATTCTGAAACTTCCGTATGGCGCCACATGCATGCATTTGTGAGTCGAGTCAATAAAATCATTGCATAATTTATGAGTATAATTGTGATATTAATTATATGTGTATTATGTTGTGTGTGTGTGCTATTTAACTTTTATTTTCTACATCTACAACTGAGTGAGATGTTTCTCACTCTCTTGTTATTCTTGTATATGTTTAAATTTATGTTGCAGGTGATCATCATCATGAGGATGTTGGTGATGAGGCCTAAAGGCTTCTTGGGGCATGCTCTGATAGGATGTGACATCAGGCTTAGCTAAGCTTTCTCTTGTGTCATTTTTATTCTAAAAACATTTTCTTTTCTTTTGTAATTTAATAAATTATAAATTGATTCCTAAATAGGAGGCGCTGCCACCTTTACTGGGATTAATTTATAAATCTTTGTTTTATTATGACTTCTTGAGTTTAATATTTATGTGTATGAATTATGAATGTGTATCTTTTACCCTATGACTCTTGAGGTAATTATTTTATAATAAACTATGAAAGTTTTTATATATATATGGTTTATATTTATTGTGTAATTATGTTGGGGTAGAGGGTGTCACAGACAACACAACTCCACTTCATGAGACAACTTACTCAATGAAGTGTTTTTAACTTTAGACTTTTAGAGCACCACAACTCATATCCACACAATGAGATATTTTAACTTCTTAAAACAAGCATTCTCCTCTAGTCCAAAATTAAACTTCATAGCTCAACAATATGCATCATGTATCTTTTCAACACAACTCAACTAAACATAATCATCTCAACTCATTCAACATACTACATGCAAAACTTGGAATATTATTCAATTCAACTCAACTTGCATCAATTCTACAATAGAATTCTTCAATCATACACAATATAATACAACAAAGCTCCACAAGTATTCAACTTACATCATCTCATGATAGATAAAAGTATAACATACAAATAATTTATCAAACATGGCTCTTGTTGGGCGAGGATAATCTTGTTGAGTGAGCTAAGCTCACTAGAGCTCATCGTTGGGTGACATTACTCTCACTCAACAAAGAAAACATATTATGACTTTTCTCGTTGAGCGAACTTTGACTCATTGGGCGACCAAACTCCACTAGAGCTTATCGCTGAACACACATGTCATTCTATGAGTCCTTTCTCCAAGCAATCATACCTCAATAAACGATCAAAACCTCTTATGAGTTCTCTCGGTAGGCGTGCTATGCCTCATTGGACGAGCTATCAAAAGGCTACCACATAATAGTTTTCTTGTTGGTGACATTCATGTCGTTGAGCAAGAATGAAAATCTAGGTAGAGGAGCATTAGCCTAGATGAACATTGAGCGAGCATTCATCCTTGTTGGGCAAAAATAGAGTTTTCTACCAAGGAAACTCAACTTTTATCTTCAAGATTAATCATCAAATAACATAATTCAACATGCAACTTAAAATCCATCATCTACTAAGATGATGCAACAAATAAAATCAAGTAAACACCACATGCAACCAATCAATAACACAAGAATACCAATCACCACTGTAAACATCCGAAACCTAGAATACCAAGGTTACGTCTTCTCAAATTTCAACACCAATGGGCAAAACAACACAACAATCAACACAATGTACTAAAAAATAATCAAAGTACAAACTTTTCTTACCTCAATTTCTTCAAAAATCAAGGGAAGAAGGATATAAATGACAACTTTCGAAGCTTGTCGTACAACAACTTCTATCTTTGATTCTCAAACCCTTAGCTTGAATATCTACTCTAGTTACATAAACAATCTACTTTGGGGAAAGATCTATATGCTCTTGTGAAGTTAAAAGAAAAAGTCTTTCCTTGGCTTTAGAGCCTATCTTTCTAAAACTTCTCTCTAAAACTTAGGAAAATAAACTTATGAATTTCAAGTTTTTTGAAAATCTTATATACATTCTCCATTCTTGATTAAATTTGACCTCAATACAAAATAATTGTAAACAACTAAATTTCTAAGAATTCTTTAATCCTTAGAGCTTTATATCACACAACATGTAATATATAAAACACTCAACACACAACACAATGTCACAATATTTTTAACATTTCTACTACACTTAAATGTTTTACATTCCCTATTTGTATGAAATTAAAAGATCGAAAATAGAAGCTTTAGTTGTTGATCTTTGTCTACTCTTTTCCTTCATCTTCATAGTTAGTTATTTAGAATATCTTTTTTGGATAAGATTATTTTCTTTTATCATAACTTGTACAAGAGTGTACACTAACATGTACATTATATATATGAGTTGTTCCTCTTACAATAGTTTATTTTGATTTTTATTTTAAACTCTAAAATTTAATAATAGTAAAATAAACTATTCTTCTATCACACACAAATTAAAAAAATAGATTTGTCGACTTGTTTAAAATTAAATTTATTAGTCTATTTAACATTTTTAATATAAAATATTTTTTTTAAGTAAACTAATAAATCAAATAAGATTTTTAAAAGTTAAATTAGACGTATAAAAAAATTATCATAAATAAGAAATTAAATTTAAACTTTAATTTTATAAAACAAATCTAATTTATATATTTAAAGAGTTAATCACCTGTATACTGTCGGTGTAAAGTTTTTTTATACCGACAACTAATCATATCTTTTAATAGTACTATGTCAGTTGCTTATTTAATAAAATAAAAATAAAATAAAATAATTTAAAAGATATAATTGATTATCAATATAAAAAACTTTACATTAACAATGTATGAATGATTAACTCATATTTAAAATCTAACTTAACCTATTTTCATTTTTATCCGCAAGTGACCAAATATGGATTCCCAAACAAATTACATGTTTGGAAAAGTGTTGGATACCTGATTAATCAAACATTTTTTTTTTAACTTTTGAAATGCTAGAATATTAATAAATTAATATATAAATTTTAATTATGAATTTTGTAATACTGCACAAATTATATTAAAAAAATTAAAGAATATGCGTGTATGAACGTAGTAATAACTAATAACATTACGTGTAATGAGTAAAATCAAAAGCTCCTAAAAGAACAAGCACATACGACAGTGTGGAATGAATAGCATTAACTTTTTCACGTGGATTTCACAACTAAAACCTTTTTGCCTCATCGTCCATCATTAATAATTCTATTTTAATTTTTTTTTATCCTTTAACCAACAACCCAAAATTAAGAATAATGTGCTAAATATTTTTTCTTTCTTTATATTCTTTTATATTTAAATATATTTTTAATCAATTAAATTTAAGATAAATTTATTTTTAATTTTTTAAATTAAAAATTAATTTTTAAATTTTTATAATTTAAAAATTTATTTAACTTTTATATTTAAATTTTGTTAAAAAATTTATTAAATATTATCATATAAAATTTACATTAAATCTAATTAATGTTATATAATTGTTTAATTTTTTTATGTTATTGAGGATTGAAAGATTAAAATAAAATTTTAAAAATTATAAGTAATTTGTTTTTAATTTTAGTGGACAAAGTTAAATTTATTTTAAATTTAAAGATTAAAATATATTTAAACTTAATTTTTGAAATGTTACCCAAATCGCATGTGCGAGCACGGATACATGTTTCACCTGACACAAATGCAACGAAAATGGCAAAAGAGACGCCTCCGAAACCCGCAGGTGAGAATATCACTGTCCCCAAAGTAAAAACATAGTAAAAAGAAAAGAAAAACGAACGACTTGTGTGTGTGCGTTAAGGTGATCAGCGGTGGTGTGTGTTGTTGTTATGTCTTCAAGTGTCGTGCATGCATTTTATGCATCTGTTGCTTTGCATGCACACACACTCTCTCTCCTCACCCTTTCTCTCTCCTCGTTTTCTCTCTCCTCGTTTTCTCTCTCTACAGAGACACACGCCCTCATTTTTCTCTCTCTAAAATTTCAGGTCAATTTCCATTGCCTTGCTCTGATTTCAGTGGTTTCTCTTTATTTTTCTTCATTGCTTTGTCTCTGTTCTTCTTCAGCTGAGTGCTAATGTAACAGATGATGCTTCTGGTTTTTTAGATTTGAGGGGTTAGACAGCTAGCACCGCAAAGTTGGGTTCTTTTTGTTCATGTGAATGACCCATTTAATCGCTCTCTTTTCAGGTGAGGGAAAGGTTTGTTTTTTCGTTTTGGGGTTTTGTTTTTTTTTATCACCCTTTTATGAATCTTGAAACTTTGTGCATGGGTATATGTGGGTTCATGGTGACTTTTATGAGTAATGGGTCAAAAGTTTGTTTTTTATTTTTTGGTTTTAATATTTGTTTTAGGGATTTTGATGCTGATTGGGTATTTGGACTGTGTGTATTTGGTAGTGGAATTTTGGAGTTTGGATTGATGGGTTCCGACATTTGCGTTGTGAATGGTTCGTGCACTCATGAATGGAGGAAGGGGTGGACTCTGCGATCTGGTGGATTCGCCCAACTGTGCTGCAAGTGCGGGTAAATTTGAGTCCTTTTGCTTTGAATTTCATTTATTGGCAAATTTTGAGCTGATTGGATTCTGTAAGGGTAGTTTTGGGGATTTGTGATTTTGGGACTCGTTCATGTTGATGTTGTTTTCGAAATCAGAGATATTTTTGGGTTTTGATTTTGATGTATATTATCTCGTGGGGGTTTCAATTGTATTTGTAAGGTTTGGTCCTATTTTTTTGCCCCTTACCGGGATTTTCTGGCGTCCAAGTTGCATTGACGTGAATAAGAATAACATTAAGTGCACCATTCAGAGGACAATATTTATAGTATGTAATACTAATTACTAATTCAATGGCAATACGAAGTTATTGTTGATTGAGGATGAGGATCAATGTAGCTAATTTGGGAAATATTTCTAGAGATTGACTTGGCAAGGGTGTTCTGGTCATAAGGATTGTGAAATAAGAATTCTTAATTGTTATAGTAAAAAATAATTTATATATTTTTAATTTTTAATTTCGTTTCATATAATTTGTTGACTAATTTTTGGTCTTCTTTCTCTGATGCTAGATTTATGGAGGAGTGGAAGGGTGACACCCTTGACCCATTGTAAGTGTCATAATTTGGTTATCCAATGTGGAAAATATTTTGCCTTTTTCCCTTATGTTAATTGTAATAAAGGCTTGATTTATTCATACTTGATATTTTATTAATGTTCTACTATTCTAGCATAACACCATAAGTAATTGTTGTCATAGGTGTTACTATCAAAAACATTTTATTTCTCATTGTCTGATGTATGCTAATGTATATGTCTCTAGCTGACTCTATTTAGTGGTTTTTTTAGTAAATGTTTCTTACACTTTTATTTTTTCTAGTAGATAGTTTCATAAAATTCTACCTAGCTGCTGTGATTCTAATGCTGTGTTTTTTTGCTTCTCCTGTGAAGTAACTTCTTCCTAAATGGTTGAATTTTTGCTCCTCGATAGTGAAGGGTGTATGTTAAAGAGTTGAGCGCAAATGGTAGTAAATAATGTGAAAATCATATTTTCCCGTGATTATTGATCAATAAGTTGTATCCATATTTTTTTTATTCTTTTCTAAAGATCTTGTATTTTGTAATGAAAAAAAGGTTTTCCCATGATTATTGATCAGCTCCACACCTTACTCTGAAGTGTACCTTAAACTTTTGAGGATATCTTTCCTACGAAAAATTTCGCTAATTCAAATGGATCTTAGGTTTAGTTTTCTTTTTGATGTTTACCGTAGGTGATGTAGCATTTTCTTCCTTTGCTCATATCTTCCCTCTGTTATATGTTTGATAATTTAGCCATGTATTTTGTTTAGTAATAATTCATTTATTGATTCTATATATTTCCGGCTTGGAAATCCTTAATATGTCATTCCACGTGCTTTAGATCTTCCCAGGACAATTCAGTTTTCTGTAATAAATTCCACCGCCAACAAAATGGTTGGAGGGAGTGTAACTTTTGCAACAAGGTAAAGAATAACCTATTTTTGTGTTAATTCTATTCAGGCATTCTTTTCTCTCCTTAGCAATTGAAGTCTATTTGATTTGGTTTGTCAGCCTATCCACTGTGGATGCGTAGTATCTAGATCTTTGTTCGAGTATCTTGACTTTGGTGGTATAGGCTGTGTTAGCTGTGTAAATACTACCCAACTTAGTATGGTAAGTTTATCTGGATTTTTTTAGCGTAAATTTTGTTTTGTGTCAGTAATTTATACTTAATTTCTGTTTAATGCAATATGATTTATTTTGTATCATATCATTTGTTGCTAAATCTTGCTTCTGGAATCTCCCTTTAACTCATTGTCTAAATTTTCATCACATCATTGAATGCAATATTGGTCTCTAGTATTTTTTTTTTTTTTTTTTTTTTTTTTTTTTTTTTTTACTGTTTTAATGATATATTATTGTCTCTTAGAATTTGTAATTAAAATGGTTGCCGGCTATTTAAATGTGTAGATTTTTGGTTCTTGTATTATGTTTTTATGTCGCATTTAAATGTATGGGTTTGGATATCATACTCAAGCAATGGCATTACTTTAGTAATGTTGATTAGTTGCGCTTTTTCTGTTATTGTACAAGAACCCATATGTTTGACACCATACTTTTACCCGTCATCTGTATGGAATGCATGCATATGCTTCTGATTTGAAAGACTCCTATACAAAAATGTTCGTTAGTATTACTGCAAGCTTTTGCTATATATTATTATTTTTAATTATGTTCAGAATATTGTTACTTCTTTTTATTGATCCCATGCCTTGGTATTCTGTTAGTGCCGTTATTTGAGGCATGTAGTTGGCTGCTACAATTTTGAAGAGGTTTCAATTAGGTGTTTTGTGTTTTTTATTCTCTGACAAAATTTCAAAGGTTCATTTTATTTGGTGTCTTTCTGCAGATGAGGAATACTGAAAATCCAAATGGGTCAGTTTCATCGATAAAAAGTAATGCAAGTGATCGACATTCTGCCCATTTTGATGGAAGACTGTTTGCGGGTAGTGTTGATGAAGGAAAACTTATGCAATTCTGCAAAATTGTTGAAGCCAGTGAATCCAGCCGTTGGAATCATGGTCAAAGAGATGGCATAATTCCACGGTGTGGGCAAAACAACCAAGAAGCTAAGTGTTCCTTCAGGGAAGGGGATGTTGGATTTTCAAATGTGATGAAACCATCTGTTCAGTCATTAACATTTGCCACATTAGAAAATAATAGGTCAACCTGGGAGATTAAAAACATGCATGAATCAAATTCACAGCCATCGTTGAGTATGTATCTGGGAAATGCATCAGGGAGCAACTCTGTCCCGCCTTCTGTTGGAGAGGCTTTAGAAGGAAGACTTGATGGTAAAACATCTCCTCCCTTTCATCAAGGGCAAAGATCTCGCCCTATATTCCCCAAACCGTTAAAGAGTGGGCTTACCATAAGTGTGGAAACAGATAAAGGTAGAATTTCTCAATCACGCGTTGCTCGGCCGCCTGCTGATGGAAGGGGGAAGAATCAGTTACTTCCTCGATACTGGCCAAGGATTACTGATCAAGAGCTGGAGCGATTGGCTGGGGAGTATCCTTTATATTTTTTATTTGGTTGTCTTGAATATATATAATAAAAGCTGATAGTATAAAGTTGGTTTATCAGTAGTTTTCCTTAATGTTATAACAGTTTGAAATCCACTGTAGTGCCATTGTTTGAGAAGGTGTTGAGTGCCAGTGATGCAGGTCGAATTGGCCGTCTTGTTCTCCCAAAAGCTTGTGCTGAGGTATTTTTGGAGTTTTGGTTTTCTCTGTTAACTTTTTTATGTGCTTGCTTTGTTATCTCTGTATGAGTCTATGGAACTCTCTGTTTCTGCAGATTTTTTATTTTTAAATATTGAAACATCACTTCATCCTGTAATTGCTGAGCATCATACAAACTGGCATATGAATTGCAGGCATATTTTCCTCATATTTCACAATCTGAAGGTGTTCCTTTGCGAATGCAAGATGTGAAGGGGAATGACTGGAAATTTCAGTTCAGATTTTGGCCTAATAACAACAGTAGGATGTATGTTTTGGAGGGCGTGACCCCTTGCATACAGTCCATGCAGTTACGAGCTGGCGATACTGGTATGAATCAATCTAGGGAATAAACCTTGCACATACCTATTGCATTGCAATTTTGTACTTGAATTTTGATTTATGTCAAATTTTATAAAAATACATGTTTTTGCAGCAATATATATTCTTTTATAATTTTTTACTACCCAAGAAAAAAATATTGTATAGTTTTTATGTAATCATTGTTTCATATGACCCTTATACAGGCTGGTTGTGTATTACTGATATTATTCCGATGATCTTTTTAAGACAAATGGAAGAAGTCATGCCTTGTAGAACTGATCTGTTATACATAGTTTATCGGTTTGAACTTCAGATATTCTGAGTCTAATGTCATGCAAATCTGAAATTACTATTCTTTTATATGATGCTTTTATGCAGTAACATTTAGTCGGATAGATCCTGGAGGCAAACTTGTTATGGGCTTCAGAAAGGCATCAAATTCTACGGATACACAGGTTGACACAAAATTTCCATTTTACTATCTGTGGCCTCTTTGAATAATACATTATTATTTTTATTTTTATTTTTATTTTTCCCTGTTGGTTAATATGCTAAAAGGATATTGTTTAAACAGGATGCCTCCACATCTGCACCATCTAATTCAACCAAGGGAACTTCCTCTTCTGCTGGAACTGAGAATCTGCCATCGGGAAGTAATCATGCCGATCTTCTCCATTCAGTGACAGGGAATGTGGAACCTCACTTAGATGAGCATACAGAACATCTGCATTTGGGTACTGGAACTGCTGGGTTGCTTAAAACTGAAAATAATGAGATGACAAACAATAGTTTGGTGCAACAACAAATTTCAGTTTCAGAGAAGAAGAGGACTCGCAATATTGGGCCTAAAAGTAAGAGGTTGCTAATTGATAATGTAGATGCTATGGAGTTGAAACTTACATGGGAAGAAGCACAAGATTTGCTTCGTCCTCCTCCTAGTGTCAAGCCAAGCATTGTCACAATTGAGGACCAAATATTTGAAGAATATGATGTAAGTGAAACTGTAAAATCAGTCATTAATTTGGAGAATTTTGTTCAAATTTTGTTGCCCTGGCTAATCTATGTGTTGTATTATGTGCTTCATTTCATTTAGGAACCCCCAGTTTTTGGAAAGAGAACTATATTCAGTGCCTGTTCATCTGGGTAAGAATCCAACCTTTTCGCATATTTGGCGTTGTATTCAGTAAAGTAGGAAGTCTTAACTAGTTACTACTTGTTTATCACTTGGAGTTGGTCTTACCTTTGAATTTGTTCATCCATCTGACAACCATTTGGTATTTTTCTGGATCCATGGCGGCTGTTGCAAGAATTTTACTTATATTGGAATTAGGCATTAGATCTTAATTATTCTCCAGAAAAGTATTTAGACATGTCATATTGATGTGAGCAATTTTTCAACTTGTTATGCAGGGGGAAGGAACAATGGGCTCAATGTGATGATTGCTCTAAATGGCGAAAGCTGCCCATTGATGCTCTTCTTCCACCGAAGTGGACATGTTCTGAAAATGTTTGGGATTCAATCAGGTGCTCCAATATTATTTTAAGGCCACTTTTTTTTATTGAGAAAGTATGAGATAAAATGATTTACAATTCTTATTGTGGACATTTTTTTAGGTGTTCATGCTCTGCAGCAGAGGAACTAAGTTCAAGGGAATTGGAAAATCTTCTGAAAACCAACAAAGGTGTGATCCTTATATCCCTGTTTTGGATAAGCTCTGCGGCTGTCCCTGTTTGTGATTGGGTTGAGGTTGAGCTTGTTGCTGTACAACTGATTGAATGTTCTAAATATATAATATGTCTATGCAAGTTCTGCATTCATAAATCATAACATTATGTGGATGTGCTGAATGATGTCAGCATTAATATAATGCTAGTCAAATTCTATTCTTAGGTTCATGTAAAGCAGTTTGGTTTTTATACCCGTATATGTTTTGAGTGAAGTCTTTCATTTTTCACATCATGTTTGTAGTGGATAGTTTTGGTGGTGGAAATCTCAATTGCCACTTAGGCCACAATTTTACTTCCAAAACCAAAAAAGAGTCCTCATTTGCTGTTACTTTGTGCCTTCCCTTTGATCTAGCTGATTGGACTATGAGCCTCTTTTGATAAATTTTTCCATAAGCACTTCAAGGAGAGAAACATGAGAAGGGAAAATAAATAAGCTCCTTCACAAGTTAAAATTAGCTTATGCAAGTTAATATATAAAATTTCTCTTATATTAGCTTTTCCAAAAACTTTTTTTTAACCTTATGATTTTTTTTTCTTAGAGGTACCTTTGGAGAAATTTATCAAAACTGGCCTATACTTGTGTTTTACTATTCTTTTATGGTTAGCATACAACATACCAATTCCTGAATGTTTCTGCTTTGCTCAATGCTTCCCAGATTTTAAGAAGCGACGAGTTGTAGAAAGCAGCAAGTCAATCCAAGAACATGAGCCTTCTGGCTTGGACGCTCTTGCCAGTGCAGCAGTTCTAGGAGAAAATCTCGTCGACACTGCCGAATCATCAGCCAGAGCCACCACCAAACATCCTAGACACCGCCCTGGCTGCTCCTGCATCGTGTGCATTCAGCCCCCAAGCGGAAAGGGCAAACACGAGCAGACATGCACATGCAACGTGTGCACGACCGTGAAGCGCCGGTTCAAAACCCTCATGCTAAGGAAGAAGAAACGGCAGTCTGAACACGAAGCAGATGCTGCTCAAAAGGAACAAGTTCTCCAGAAAGATGAGTCAGATACCAATGGAGCATCAAGAGATGATGCAAGCCTTTTGGAGAAAGCTGAAGTGGGTGAGTCCAGTGGTGGACAGATAGATCTGAATTCTCATCCCAACCGTGAAGACATGATGCAAGTGGATGTCACAGGACTTGACATGTCTACTCCTCTTGAAACAACAACAACAAACCATTCAGTAAGGGAATTTATGAACCAAAATGACCTAAGAAGCTTTGATAATGAAGTGCAGGGTGGCCAGAATTCTTCTTTGCACACTCAATCTAATGGAGAAGGTCAGAGATTCTTCTCTGATGGAAGATGCTTTTCATCCATTGTGTGGAACCAAGAAAGAGATGAGGTATACAGTCAATCCAATCAAAGTCAAAACAATCTTCCTTGACAATTTATTTATTTTTATATTTAATCAGTTTTTATTTTTTTGGAATTTTTATATTTCTCCTTGCAATCATACAGTATATATATTGCTTTCTTTTTCAAAAGGGTGGTCAAAGATAGTTATTTCTTATATAAAAAAAAAATAATGTAAGTTATTTCTTATATAAAAAAAAAAATAATGTAATTTTTTGTATCCTTTGCCTTGGAAGTTTTCTCTTCATGGAAGTGGGTCGTGCACATTTCTTCTTTGACAATGTATTTGTTGTCGGTTATATGAATGAAACATAGGAAAAAGCTTACATGTTCAATCTGTTTGTCTCTGCTAATTTTGATGAATATATTTTTGCATGGAGTATGTTGAATGAGGAATGAGAAAGAAAAAATATATCGCAATAACCTTAACATTTAGTTTTGTATCTATACTATTAATAAGGGTATTGTCTCTTTTATTGATAATTGTGTTTCTATAACCAACTATCAAATTACTTTTTTTTTGTCTATTATTTTTTAAGAAAATTCCCTTACAATTAAAACTGTCCAAAAACTGTTCTGATTCTCTAATAATTATTAAGCATTTACTTTTATTTTATTTTATTTTTAAAAAATACACTGAGGCACATCATGTTTTTTTTTTTCACGCTAGTAATTATGATTCCTTGGAATCGATGATTACCTGGGATAAATTAGTGTTTTTGTTTACAGTTTCTTATTTAGCAATCGAAAATTTAGTTTTATTTTTTTATTTTTTATTACAACTTTTGGTGAAATTATTACAATTATAGTTAAGGATAGTTTCCTTTTACATAAAACGAATTACACGAATGTTTAAATTCTTAAATTGCAAAATATAAAACATCTAATATTGTATATGGTATAAGAGTCCAATAGTCTATTTGATAATTTGTCTTGGACTTTTAAGTGGTGCATGTGGAAAGACATCAGATTTTAAAGTTTACAATAACCTCGAGATTGGAGGCAGTTCTCACAACGAATCTCGGCTTGGTAATAATGTTCCGTTAAATTTATTTAAAGACAAAACATCTAGTTTAGTCTTTTATAATAATTAATAATTTTAATTTTGAGTCTCAATAATTTTTTGTTTTAATTTAGTTCTGAATAATTTAAAAAATATTAATGTGGAATTTTTCGTTTAAATTTTATAAATGGCGTTAAAGGTGATAGTGTGGATGCCACGTAGATGTATATGTAGCATGCCTCCTCTTCCCCTTCTTTAATGATTTGGAAAGGCCCTTTTCACTCGCATTTCTTATGTATTAATTTTGCATCTAGAACGGTCCGTTCCAAATTTTAAAAAAAACACAAAGAATGCAAGTAGAACGGGCCGTTCTAGTTTCAGAAGGGACCGTTCCAGATTTAAAGATTATTTTTGAATATCTTAGTTCTCTCCATATTGAAATTTTAACTGGGGCAATTATGAACTAGGATTGATTTTCTTTAAACTTTTTAATATAGAGTATCGTCTCAATTTGGAGGAATTTAATGGTATCTTTGGATTTTAAACCATAAGGAAAAAAAAATCTAAGATCATTTAGTTCATACATGTTTTGGGATACACAATGGGAGGTTGGTTAATGCAATTCATCTACATTCGTCATGCTATTATTAAAATTATGCATAAATTTATTGCATCTACTGTTCTAGTTCGTGGCGGCTCAGACGGTAAACTACGCCTAATTGATTTATTATTTATATGGGCAATGATAAAAATAAGGATGAAAAAATCAACTCTGGTGCATATTTTAATATTTGAATTTATATTATGTTATGAATTTTTGTTTTCAATCTTTGAACCACATTGCTACAATTTGTTGAACATTTTGTTGAAATGTAACACTTAAATTTAAACATCAATCCTGGTTGGCATTCCAGAACGGTCCGTGCTGAATTCAGAACGGGACGTTCTTAAACCAGAACGGCCCGTTCTGAAACCAGAACAAGCTATTCTAAAACCAGAACAGGCCGTTCTGATTCACTCGTTGTGTGTTGCATTTGTATCCGGAACGGGCGTTTCAGTTACAAAATTAACACACAACGAGTGGGATCAGAACGGCCTGTTCTAGTTTCAGAACGGGTCGTTCTAGTTTCAGAATGGGTCGTTCAGGTTCATTAAAGAAGGACTATGGAAACATGCCACGTAAGTATCTACGTGGCATCCAAAATTTGGACGGAAAGTCCCACATTGACATTTTTTAAATTATTAGAGACCAAATTGAAACAAAAAATTATAGAAGGACGAAATTGAAGCTATTAATTATTATAAGAGATCAAATTAAGTATTTTGCCTTATTTAAACGAGTTAAATGTTTTAATTTTCATTTTATTTTTATCGATCAACAAATATTTATATAAATATATATAAAGATACAAAGGTATCAAAATCCACATGTATAAAATAACTAAAAAGTTATATTACCCTGATTAAAATTAATTTGAATTTGTGTAATATCAAATTATGTTGTATTTAAAGATTCCAAAAAAATGGATAATAATTTAGATATAAATAACAACTAGCACGCTCTAATTAATAATCCATTATTTATAATAAAACAAACACATATAATGATATACATGATCAGCCTCTATTATCCAACTTAAAACATTCTAGAATTAACCAACAATTCCAAGATCTTCCAGCACCTTCATGGCTTGCTGGCATCTTCATGGGTTTCTGTTTTGGTTGAAGGAGCAGAATTTATTAAAGGGAGAGGACTGGAGACAAGTGATTTAAATCTCACAATATACAATATATATTAAGAGAATGTTAGTGTAATATTTTTTAAAAATTAAAAAAAAATTATATTGTAAGGATAAAGATAAAGAGAAAGTTTGACAATCTCACGAACCTACAAGGAATGTTTTATATAATATACTTTGGACGTTACTGTATTGAAAAAAATCATGGCGTATTATTAATTGCTAGTTTGTTAGATGATAATAGAAACATCTTGTAACTATAGTTTGTGCAGTGGTTGAAGGGGAGACAAAAATGTGCACGTTTTTTTTTTTTCTTCACAATTTTCTCACATGGCAAATATATCTCCAAATTCAGACGCAAAAGTATTCTAGCTGCACTAGTTCTATGTTACTAAATAAGTATAACTAATATGTATTAAATTTATAATATTTTTAATTTGTGAGATATTGTATTCTTTTTATTTTAATATATATGTTTTAGATTAAATATGTAAGTTTAATATGTTAATACTTTAATATTTTAGTTTAATGTGTAAATTTTTATATTATTTTTAGTTTTTACACTAATGTTCTAAGGTTTTGTCTTAGACTAATGTGATTTAGTTAAGAAGTATGTAAAGTCTAACAAAGAATTACTTTTGTCAAGAGTTGAACTCAGGCACTGCCTGAACAATTTAACATTGGCTTTAACACATTAAACTTTTATATGTTACAGCTATTATAATTTATGTCAAGTATTGCTTCCTTATTTTTTTTTTTGGCATAAAAAAGGAAGAATTTTCTTTTTCAATGTTGTTATTGAGTTCATGGGTTTGCCTATTCAACCATGGTTTTGTTGGGCGGATATGGATCAAGAAAAGGATCATTTATTTTGTAGATCGAACTTATTTGGTCTTTTAAAAGTGTATGTTTCACATGTTCAGCTTTAAATGGGTTGGATTGACTCATGTACCCAGCCCTAACTACAACAATTAATGAGTTAGGTTTAAACTACAACACTTCTTATGTATTCATCTGTGTTGATTTAATTATCTTTTTGATTTTATAGTTTCATAGACTTTATTTTTTTAGTCTTTATAGTTATTAACATTCTATTTAGGTTCTGATATTACCCCTTTTTAGGATGATAAAATATACCTAGATCTTACAGGTAACTATAAAAAATACCTTCAATAAAAAAGGTAAAAATCTATATAATGAGTATGGAGTGAAAGTGGAGATTTACTCGTAAAATTTAATACAAATGAGGGTAAGTATGAATACTATAATACTTGCATGTCACCCATCTTATTGCCTCACTACTCTGTTTATATTCAATGAATGAAATAAAAATATCTTATCGTATAAAATTTAAACTTGTAAATTGCACTACTTTATTTATTCAAGTAAAGTTTTTGTATTTTTTTTATCGGTATTTTAATTATTATTAAGATAATTTAATCCTTATTTTGTCATGTTTTAGTTTCTTTAGATATTATTAGACCAAAATAATATTTAAACTTGATAAATTAGTATTTACATAATATCTCATGAGGATGAGATGAATAAATGAGATTTGTGAACATATTCTGATACTCTCACATTCTTTTTAAATGGAATATATTAGTAACTTCCCATAAATTTTGAACAAAAAATCAAATTATTATTTTTTAATTATTTATTTTAGAGATATGATAATAATTCAAAAAAAAAAATTTATTTATTTCTCTCTCCTAATTATTTGTCTTTTCAAAAATGCGCACAAGAATTTAATCTTTTGTCTTAAACATTAAAATATTCATATTTTAATTATCTTTTTAGTCTTGATATATACTTAGATGAACGTACTTGTCCTTTTAGTCTTTATTATTAAAAATAGTATGTTTTAATCCCTATAGAACAATTTTTTTTCCAAATCAATCCCTGTCATTATTTTTATTCAGTATTTAGGGTTAGTTTTTGTCATACGTTGTTTATGATTAGCTGGTGTGGCTATGTAACCCAATTTGTTTGACCATTAACTATGTTGAAAAAAGGTTGGTAATGTGACAATCTAATATTTTTGAGTTAGGGAGAAAATTTAATGTATATAAAAAAATTACAATATTCTTTTCTTAAAATATTAAATCTTTCTCTTTCTATTTCTCTTTTTCTCCCCCTTCTTCTATTTCTTTTTCTCCCTATCTCCCACTCTCACTCCTCCTCTCTTCCTCTCTCCCTCTCCATCTCCTTCCCTCTCTATCTCTCTCTCTCTCTCTTTCCCCCTCTTCCCCCCCACTCTTTTTTTATTTTTATTTTTTTTATTTCTTCCTCTCTCTCTCTCCGTCTCCCTTACATATATTTATTTCTTTCTCTCTCTCTCTTATATTTCATTATTTCTTGATCTTGTCAATTTTAATAATATTATTAAAGTATATTTTATTTCTATAGTTTAATGATATTTGTTAACACTTTTAACTAATTAATTAATTTAATGATATATATAT